TTGAAACAAAATCTCTGCAGCAAATGGAGAAACCACGCTGGTGACGCAAGAGTCCCAGCCCTTGTTCGCATTTGGGAAGGGAGAAAGTTTAATCGGTGCTTAGGGGTATCTAAGATGGGCATGGTACCTTGGAAGGGTCATGGCCTGGGGAGGGGTGGTGGGTGGGGGGGGTCCTTTCCACATAAATAAAGTTCTAGGAAAACTGGGTTGAAGGACAGAAGCTAGGTACCTCCGCCAGGGCTGATCACTCTGCCCTGAGGACAGGCTGGGCACTGCCTGGTGGCTAGCAGTTTAGTCCAAGGCCAGCCACCAGGACCTCAGGGCAGAGTGCCGAGGGTGCCTCAGATTTTCGACCTGGCCCCAGATCATTTTAAACATGGCCTCAGTGTGGTACCTTGGAAGGGTCATGGCCTGGGGTGGGGTGGTTTCACAGTCCTGTCTGTCCTGGAGGCACACATTCCCATGGCCGAGGTTTTACCCCCTCATTCCGGTGGTGGTGGGGTACCGAGCGCCTCCCTCCTCAGTGCCAGGCCCTGTGCTGGGTGCTGGCAGCCCTGGGCTGAATTCCCAGGAATGCTGGGTCTGTCGTGGAGCTTGTCAAAGTAGAATAGGATCTCTGGGTTTCTGGGCTCGGAGCCCCCTCCTCTTCCTTCCCTGCCAACAGACACACAGTTCCTCTCAATATAGCTCATTGATGAGGCGGTGGCAGGCGAGGAACTTTAAACTACTGGCTCCCAGGCAACCTCGGCCAAGCCCTGGCAATGTTTAATTAAATTACCCACCGTCTCTCTCTCTCTCTCTCTCCCCCTACCCCCACCACCACCACCAATTCAAGCCACAGTTTGAAGCTGGGAACCAGAAACATCCCCATAAACAAAAGAGAGCTGGAAGTCCCCTGCCTGGAGGCGATTCCTCCCTTTTTTCGTTGGCTCTTCCATGTGGAGACATTTCCTGACGTGGGAGCTTTGTTTTTTTTCTTTTCAGAGGTTGCCTGCCCTGCTGCTGAGGGGGTCCTCAGACTGCCTGCCCCCCTGGGCTCCCATCTCATCCAGCCTGTCTCCAGGGAGATGGCTAGGAGGTTGCAGACACCCTCTGCCAGCCTCTGTTTGCCCCGGGCCTTTTGTCCCCCAGACTGCCTCCCGGTCTGAGCTTATTTGCATTTTACGCTGGTCTCCTCTGTGGCATTTTTGGGCTAGAGAATCTGGAGGAAGGGAAGAGATGGGGACAGACAGAGGCGACTGGGTCTTGGCTGCTTCCAAAAGCCTTAGTTGGGTCCTCGCTACCTACGGTCATTTACCTTGACTGGGCTGACCTTTTCCAGTGGTAGGGCAGTGACCGGAGCATCAGTCTCCCCTGTGTCTTCCAACACACCTGATCACTGCCCTCTCCAGGGCCCCAGCATCAGGATGGGGGAAGACCCAGGCTGGGTGGGGGAGACATGACAGGCTCTCATCCTGGACTCTTGGCTTCTGACGTGACCTTGAGCGAGGCCCTTAACTGCTCAGGCCTCATTTTCCTCTGTAGAATGAAGAGCAGCCTTACGAGTCCCTCTGGCTCCTACCTTCCCATCATGCACATCGGCGGGTGAATGCGTTTGGCCCCTGTAACGGTGATGATGCCACTTAGAAGTGGCATGGTGTGAAGGAGGGACGTTTCCAGCTCAGAGTTTTCTATGCGACTCTGGCCTCTTTTATGGCTGTAATGCGGTGAGAGGGTCGGGTGGAGAGGTTGGATCATGAAAGGTTTGACAGAAGCCGATTTTCAGCCCCCCTCCTCCCAAAAAGAAACCCCTCCGTCCTCTGTGAGCACAGGAACGGAGGAGGCAAAGATCGGGGGACACGAAACATCTTTCGTCATGTCCATTTTATAGGAAAGGAAGCTCGAAAGTCTACAGCTAGTCGATGGCGGAGCTGAGGTTCCCAGTTAAATGTTCCATACTCTACTCCTGCGTGCGGTGAGCGCACGTGGAATGCCTCCTTCGTGCAGGCCTGGTGCCAGGCATGTGGGGGTAGCAATAACCAGCACCGAAGTCTTTGCCTTCCTGGAACATTCTAGCCGGGGTGAGGGGTTGCGGGTAAGAAAGGCGGGGATTTGGGGGCACGATGTGGGTGAAACACCCTAGAGACCTCACATCACACCTGAAAGGGGTCGTCTCCCATGACCCAGGAGCCAAACCATCTTGAGTGCTCTGGAGAGCAGGCGTCTGGGTTGCCAGGAAAAAAAAAAAAAGTGATTTTTCTTTCTCGTTCTTCCTTCTTTATCCCATTAGAGGCCTTTTCCTTGGGTCGCTGCACCCTGGGACCAAATGAGTTTCCTCGGATCATCTAGTCCATCGTCCCGATCATAGAAAGGTCCAGGACGGGTCCAGACGGAGTGGACCCTGGGAACAGTCAGACAGACCCCGCCATCTTTCTCCTTGCACATCTTTGCTCTGAGGTCTGCTCCTGTCGCTAAATAAGCTGCTCGGGCTGAGCTTAACTCGCTACTTTTCCCTCCCAAACCCAGCTCTTCCTCTCGACACCCCTCTGCCTGTGAACCCTCAGGTAGCCCTTTTACCGCTTGCCCACGGTCAAGGCCTGAGGACTCTTTGACGCATTCTGTCATTCAGCATCGTATTCGGGTGCCCAGGATGTTTGGGCGCGTAGCGCATGTGACCAAGCTGTTGGGCCATCAGTGTGGGCACGATGAAGACTCAGGGTGAGTTCGCATGCGGATTCCCAGGCCCAGTCCCTGGAGACACTGACCCCCAGGGCTGAGGGGCACCACTGCTTTGTACCCCAGGAGATTCTGAAGCAGGCGATGCTGGAGCCTCTCTGGGGAAGCATTCGGCCACTCGTGGTCAAGTCTTACCCGTTTCCTCTCCGTAGGTTTTCTCCACCTGCTTTCATTTTCACGCCCAGCACCCTCATTACTTCTCACGTAGAACTAGTTAACAGAGCAGCCTTGGTCTTGTCACTCCTCTGTGTCACACACTTCACTGGCTCCTCATTACCTACCAATAAAACCCATCACAGCCTGGCGGTCTAGACCCTCTGCGCTCCGGTTCTCACACCTTTCCAGGTTTATCTTCCTCCATGCCTTACATTTTCCTCTATGCCTGACAAACCCCCGTCTGCCTTGACCTCGTGCATCCCCTCGGATTCTCTGACACGCCACCCCAACCATTCACAAGGTCCCTTCCACTGCAATGCCCTCCTCCTCTGCTGTTCTTGCCGATTGCAATTCTGCTTATCATTCAGGTCTTACGCTATCTGTCATCCATTTCTTGAAACGTGCGCCACACCATCATTACCTCATTTATGTAATCGATATTGACCGAGCCCATAGGACATGCCAGGTACAGGGGGTGCAGCCATGAGCAGAGACACCTGGATGGACGCCCGGGCTCGTGGGATTGGGAGTCCACTGAAGAGAAACATTCATCAGGTTAATCACACAGATAAGTGTGTCACTGCACATGATGATAAATAGGAACAGGAACTTGACCTGAAGGATGAGTAGCGAAGAGGATGAGCTTGTGGAGAGGGACCAGCGTTGTGAAGGGGCCCAGAGAAGCATGGCAGTGGGCAGAGGCTGAAGGAGGCCAGGGCAGCAGACATGTATGTGGGCAGAGTATATTACGTGTGAGGGGGCCACAGAGGTTGGCGGGTGGAGGGGACCTCCGTCCTGACCTCAGGGGGTCATGGAAGGCATCTAAGTACAGTGGGAACGTGGTCAGGTTCTCAGCCAACGTGCATTTGATTGGTAGCTTTCTTGGCGCCGTTCTGCCTCATAGTCATCGGCACTCCTGTCCTGTGTTAGACTGTGAGCTACCTGAGGAGCGCCTGGAGCGGCTAGTGAGTACTCGGCGATATGCGAGAAATGATAAAATGCCAAAATGCCGCAGTAGTCAGAAGTCATCAGTCGATCACAGCACGTCAGGAAGCCCTTGTTACTGCCGGTCACTGCATTAGGCAACGGGGCAAGGAGCTGGCCTCTGGTGTCCACTGTGCCTCCACTGAGGGCTCTGGTGTCCCCAGATGTCCCGAGGGTGGGGCCTGGACTGGGAGAACCTTTCAAGACGTGGATGGCAAACAGCATAGGACCTGAATGATCCGGAGAATTTCAATAAGTAAACATGGCAGGCAAGGAGGGCATTTCGGTAGAAGGGACCCGGTGAATAGGGGAGGAGGTCAGAGATGCTTGAGGATAAAAGGGGCATCTGTTTGTCAGGAGCGGGGGGCGGGGGGGAACACAAGCACAGAAGAAGACGAACCTGGAAAGGTGTGCGAGAGCCACAGCAGAGTCTCCAGAAGTTCTGGGGCAATTCTCTGGCATCTCTGGGGCTGGCGGCACTTGTGAAAATGCCTTTCAAACACATCTGCGAGAATGGGCCAAATACAATGTCCCTGTTACCCTGGAAAAAATATAGTGTCATTTAAGCTCTCTAAATTTAATTTCTCCATCTGTAAAAGATGTTTCATAGGATTGCCATGAAGTCTGTATGATCTGGAATAAGAAAAAGTGCTTTCTGAATAACACAGCATCCCCTGCACTAAACTTTCCTATAGTCCTCCATCCTGCTTAGACATATAATAGAAAATAAATTACAATCATAATCACCAACTTGCCACATGACAGGTGTTATTTCGGTGCTTTATCGTCATTCCTGCATTTAATCCACATTCACCCACTGAAGTAGCTATCCGAACAGATGAGGAAACTGAGGCTCGATCACACAGCCGGAAGGGACGGAGCCTCCACTGTGGGACACGAAGCCTGTCCTCTTTGTTCCCCAGGGAGCTGGCTGCTTAGGAAGGAAATGGAGGCCAACCAGGGGACTATTGCCCCCCTTCCTCCCGTCCTCCATGTCCCCTGCAGAGGGCCTGGTGCTGAATAGGGGATTGTTCTGCCTCTCCCTCCTGCCTCTGAATGTTGATGTTTTGGGTCATTAGGGGCTTGGAGACGGGGTGGGGGGCAGGTTATGACCCTGGCAAAGGCCTGAATAGCCATTGTTCCTTTTCTTCCCCCCTTGAATGGGATTCTGTCCCAAGTCTTGGTGTCTCCCTCTGGGTCGGAGGAAGGGTGAGTCAGAGGCTGGAGAAGGGGAGCCTTTTCCCACCACGTTGATGGATAGAACTCAGGCAGACAGATTCGGAGCCTCCTTGGAGCTCCCTGGCCTCCCCACCTGCCTCGGACCAGGTGTCCTCAGCCTCAGTGATGATGCCATGAAATGAGCCCCGGTCTGGGCATGGGGTGGGTAGAGGAGAAGACAGTTACGGGCTTAGTTTTCCCTTCGGTCCTGCAGGCTCCCTTCCACCGTACCGTTCTCCTGCCAAAACCCTGTCCCGGCCCCCCGACCCAGCAAGACTATAAAAATTAATATAACCTTCTCTTTAGGAGGCTTTGAGCTTCTTGAAAGAAAGACATCTGATAAATAGAAAAGTATTTTTATGACCATTATTGTTGATACAAGATTCGATGATGGGAAATTTGAGAGAATGCGCTCAATCTGATTTCTCAAAGTAAGACCCCAGCTCAATCACCACTGCCTCTGGGCAGCATTCCTGGACGGAGGCAGAGTCTTCCTCTGCCCTCTCGGTTTCCATGGCCCTGTGTCCTTTTCCTCCATAATCCTTGGGGCAGGGACTTTTAGGGACAGGGGAGAAGGAATATCATATTTAAGAGCACCTGTTGGGTGTCAAGGGCTTCATATGCCGTAAGGCATAGGAGAAATCCAGGACCTGGCATACACAAATGCATATTTGTTGAATGAATATGTGAGTCACAATTAACTTTCACAAAGACTCGGCAAAGATGTTACCATTCTGTTTCTGACGGATGACAAGGAGGCTGAGGAATCCGCATGAGCTAGTAAGTGAACAAACTCGGCTGCAGACCAAGGTGTCTTGAGTCCAAACCAGGAGGTGCTCCTTCTGGTACCAGGCACTGCCTGCCACATGTCTTCCTTGTAACTCACCCGTTTCACCCTGGTGCGACTGCAGACTCCTGTAAGGCGGGAATGAGTCTCACGCAAAGCCGCCATCTCCACCACACGCAGTAGGATTCATTCACTGTTTACTTATTAATGAAACAATTCCGTTTCATTCCTTGCTGACCTTGACCCTCTGCTCTGTCCCGCTCTGGCAGGGACCCTCCGCCCTGTTCGCCGCAACTACTATGACCCGTCCTCGGCCCCCGGGAAGGGCGTGGTGTGGGAGTGGGAGACCGACAACGGCTCTTGGACGCCCTACGACATGGAAGTGGGCATCACCATCCAGCACGCCTACGAGAAGCAGCACCCCTGGATCGACCTCACTTCCATCGGCTTTAGCTACGTCATCGACTTCAGCACCATGGGCCAGATCAACCGGCAGACTCAGCGCCAGCGCCGCGTGCGCCGGCGTCTCGACCTCATCTACCCGATGGTCACGGGCTCCTTGCCGAAGGCCCAGTCCTGGCCGGCCAACCCCGGGTCGGCCGCCTTGCCCCCCGGCCCGCCCTGCTCCTGCCCACAGTGCGTCCTGGTGATGAGCGTCAAGGCGGCCGTGGTCAACGGGAGCGCCGGGTCCCTGCAGCCCCCCGTGGCCCGCAAGAACGTGGCCCCATCCGGAGCGGTCAAGCTGCCCCCGCCACCAGGCCCGGGGACCAAGCCACTGGACAGCACAGGCACCATTCGAGGCCCGATAAAGAGCGCCCCATCGCAGCCCATGCGGCGACAAGCCTCCGGCACGCCGGCAGGGGCGACTGCGGGCTCTCCTGCCAGCCCCCCAGGAGCCAACGTCAAGACGGGAAGGGTGGCCCTGGCGACTTTGAATCGAACCAACCTGCAGCGACTGGCCATCGCCCAGTCCCGGGTGCTGATCGCCTCTGGGTAGGTGCTTCCACGGCCGGTGCCTCTAGGGGGGAGGGGGCGGGGAGGGGGACACCACCTGCGGACTCGCCTCCCCCGCAGAGATGGAGGAGGGGCTGCCGAGACTTAAGCTCTGGTCCTCTGCCCGCAGGCTGCAGGTGGAAGGCGGAGCCTTGTTTGTGGTAGATGAGGGAGGGTTTAGCCTTTGGGGCCCACAGTTGGGGGGGCGGGGAGGGGGGAGTACTTAGTAATAGCCAGGAGCATAGTGCGCTGCCACCATGTTGTAGTTTGAGGGCTGTATGGCCTCATTTCATCCTTAAG